AGAGAGAGAGAGAGAGAGAGAGAGAGAGAGAGAGTTAAATTATTTAAAAACAAATGCATTTAATATAAATGTAATACCATTTTTGTTTCCAAACTGTAACAATTAAATATAGTAGTAATATAAGGGTTTAAAATATTAATAGTTTCTAATAATTATGGTGAATGCAGACGTTGGCTATACTTTTCACCTCCATAATTTTTTACCAAACTTATTACCAATATAATTTTTATCACTATCATAATTTAGTGCCGATCGCATCATTGGTCATGTACTTTATCCGGGCCTACAGTCCGCCCCCGGAGACAGAGTCTGCGATCAAAGCACACAAATCTCAGGACTCGACGACCAGCGCGAAAGACACCGAAGCGACTCAATCACCGACGGTAAAACTATTTGACCGACCGGACACACCACGGATGGCGATGCGGGTGCTGTTTGGCGCGTGGTTCACAACGTACGTGGTTTTTCACATGGAATTTCTCAAGTTTGCCGTAACCTATTTCCAGTACTCCCGACTCCACGTGTCGGCACAGACAGCGGTGGACATTATCACCGTATCGGCCGGTGTTTACACCGGGTTCACCGCTTTGAACGCCCTGATCACACCCCGTCTGGGCGTAAACAAGGTGATCTACGCCCATTACACCTTGGTGGTGGTGGCGGCGTTTATGCTTATAGCCGGCATGTATAACGTGGTGTGTCTATGGGTGGCCAGTGTTGTGATGTGTTGGGGCTTTTCGGCCATGTTTGCCGGTGTCTATGCGTTTACCGAACAGTATATGACCATCACGAATAGGTTCTCTACCATGCTCATTATGAGCAGGGGTGTATTTACTCTGCTTACCCCGTTGCTCCTGGGCGAGTACATACCGACCCATCCCTACGTGTTTGTTGCCGTAGAGTTTGTGTATTTGTGGGCATCGATTGCAATTTTTATCATGATTGGTTTTTATATTAGAAAATATAAACGCAAGTTGGCATGTTGATTATTGTGTGATTTACAAATATATTATAAGTATACTTTTTCCCAATTGTATTAGATTTTATAAATAATTTATTATTTTATTATTTACGTCAATAATTAGTTACAGCTTTTAAATGTAACTTATTTTTAACTAATAGGATTTCTTTTATTCAATGCATTAACAATTTTGATGAATTGTATTAATTTAAAACTGTAACAAATAAATTACGGTATATATTAAATTGATAAATTGGTTATTTAATATTGTTTATTTGGATGTACCAGCGCCTGCTAAAAACAAATACAGTATTAAAATCCAATATTTTTGTTTAAATTATATTTAAATACAATATAATTGTTAATTAGAGATTACGATTAAAATTTACAATGATCATGATCAATAAGTTTACAGTATTTTAAATATTAAAACTAATAAATATTAAATACTTTTTGAACCACCCCTGATCTTATATTACATTTATATAAATCTAAAACATTTTTCATTTTCTTTAGAGTAATAATTGGTTATCTGTTATCAAAATCTATTATAAACAACAAAAATACAGATTAATTATAATATAAATATAGAGTATATATTTATTAATACTTTTAATTTCAATGTATTTGTTATATACAAGTTAGCGCTAGATTACATTTGAAACGCAATTTGGTAAACTAATTATAAAACAAAATTATCACCTCGTATGATTTTTGGTGATAAATCAAATTATAAACTCAACGCTAACTGTTATACCCAATAATCTATTTGCAATTTAGTTGAGATATTGAATGTAGGGTTGAAAATATTGTTATATAATTATATTTTTAGTTTTATTTCATGTAAAAAGTTATCATTTTGTTATTTAATTAATGCGTTGACAGTATTGACAGTTGATGTGTAGTTTTAATTTGTGTTTATAATGTCTTAATTAAAAGTTAATTAATTGTTATAAAAACGATTATTAAGCGTTTAAAATTATTAATAAATTTTTAGTTTAAATAGTTGTAATTTATTTTCATAATGAAGTTGAATGCAATTTACTTTTTAATTTGTTTAGCGTTTATAACTGCTCAAAGTAAGTAAACAAGATTATTTTCCTATTATGTTAATCAACGAGGTTAGAATAAAAACTATTTCATTATAGCTAAATAGTTTCTGACCCCAATGTACCCTGTTGCCTTTGAAGTTTACACTAAATGTATAGCATTGGGTTAATGTAAACAATTTCACTTCTATAGACCAAAAACATAATTTATTATACATGTAAATAGGCTTTAAAAACAATAATTATATTATAAAATGACCATGGAGAATTAACATAACCTCTCGAATACAATAGGCTATAGCTTACACAGCATTATAGTGGACGGAGAGGAAGACACGGATGAGATACTGACCGACACGGAAGACGAGGATGTGTTGGAGAGCGCGCGGGAAACACCGGCGCCCAACATCACGTGCAACGGTACGTTCACAGGTGACCATGGTACAATCACGACGCCCGGCCATCCGGGGCCCTATCCCAACAAAATCACGTGCGACTGGAGTATTACCGTTGCGGACGACATGCGAGTGCTCTTAATTGTCAAAGATGTCCACTTGAGGGCGTTTGACAGGATATATGTTTATGATGGCGCTGGCTTAAATGGCAGATTATTGACCTGGTACAGACGCTATCAGGGTAATAAACATATTGTCTCGTCAACCAATCGCATGTTTATTAGATTTCTGGCCGACACACACTATTATACTAAAATGGGTACACCCTTTGTCCTCACATATAAAGCGGAGAAATACGGTATGTGAACAAATTAATTTGTTATTAATAAATCAACAATGTCAATCTAGTAATTAAGAACTGTAACTAATAAATTATGACACATATTAGAGCAATAAATTAATTATGAAATATAAATTATATGGTTGTGATCTACATACATGATTAATTTTAGTTAAATTAATGTAACATTTATTTTACCAGGTTGCGATCTAGCGCTAAATGATTCACAGGGCGTAATACACAGCCCCGGATACCCGACCGGGTATTACGAGAATTTGGTGTGCGAGTGGAATATACTCGTACCCCTCGGGCGTAACATAATCATCATGTTCGACGACTTTGAGACCACGGATGAGCTGGATTATTTGCATATTTTTGGCACAAACATCCGGGTCAGTGGCGCCACAATACCGGCCAACTTTATCACCCACTCAAATAGGCTACGGCTTCGGTTCGCCACACATTCGCATAGCGGGTACAGCGCCGGCAAAAGAGGGTTCAAGATATCGTACAAGACTAAAGTGTGGGGTAAGTGTGAATGTGTTTGTTCTGGATAAAATAATTATTTATTATATGCCCATTATGGTCATAATTAGATAACAAACTTATTATTATATTATTGTTGGTTTAATATTTTATACAATTTACAATAACCATCTACAGGTATCTACAGTATAGTAAGTCATTGTTTATCGACTGTAAACTAATAATTATTAAAAACATTATAGTTGAATAAGAATTAATTTTTCAAATCATACTGGAGATACTGATAGTGACTCAATTTAATTAAATACAATTTATTTAATTCATTTTCATTGTGTTACAAGTTTTTTAGATTGTGTTATAGACTGTAAACTAATAATCATTAGAAATATTATGATGGGAAATTATTTAAAATATTGAAATATCACTGGAAGTAATGATAGTCTATCATTGATTGGACTAGACTACTCTATCAAATTTAATTTTTAAAAATTTAATGATAAATTAACCAGCACAAAAAATTTTAATTTACATTTATTAATTTAAATATTACGCCGGTACAGATACAAACACCGAGTTCCTATTGGCCGCTCACAACGCTATCGCTAGGGTTCGCTCAAACCGTACCAAAACCATAGCGTTCAACGGACACCGGGTGTCACATCTCATTGACCACGACATCGGGCGCCAGCGAGTGGTTTGGTTTGACCGGCAAAAGCACCGCTTTGTCTACATGACAACAACGTCTGGCAACTCTACCACAACCGCTGGTCAACAACAACAACAGCGGGAAGTCTACGCGGGCGCCGCCGGGCGGCCAAACAGTCTGGCCGTCGACTGGATCCGAGACCGGCTCTATTGGCTAGACATCATGTCTAAGACAATCAAACTCTTGGATTTCGCTGATCCCAAGACACAGGTGTACACCGTATGCGACGCCGGCGGCGATAATCCTCGCGATCTGGTGCTGAACGTTGCCGTTCGGGCACTGGTTTGGAGTACAATCGGCACATCACCCCAACTGATCCAATCGCAACTCGACGGCAGTAATCAGACAGCGCTGTATGACACCGGACGACAGGCCTATCATCTGACGGTCGACTATCAACGGCGGCGGTACTTCTTCGTGGACATCGATGACTGGTTTCTGTATTCAATCGACTTTTTGGGATCAGACGAACGGATGTACATCAAGTCCAGGGAGTTCTTCGACGCCGTGCACACAATGTTCGCCCTAAACGGTGACCTATACCTGGCTAACGAGCACATGGTGTATAAAATACCCGAAATTGAGCTCCGAATCGAGAGCGTACAGGTGCTCTACAAGAGTCACCGCTTTAATGTGACCACAACTGGTCAGACGGGTTGGTCACCGACGGTGGTAGTGGTCGCCGACCAGTCCGTTGATATCGATCGCCAAGAGATTAATGGTTTCCGTATTGCGGATCCGGCGTTACAGCCAATGGCCAACGACTCGGCCAGCGATGGCTGTCTATTGGCCACCAATTGCCCGAACCTATGCCTACCGGCCGCTGGTCTGGAATACAGGTGTCTGACACCCGATAGTGAGCTTATGATGAATAGTGCCTACGATTACTATTACGATAGACCGGTGGATAAGCTATCGGTGGTTAACTCGGTGTTTATCGCCCTATTAATTGTGGTCAATGTGGTGCTAGCCTTGTTTCTATGGAGGTTTGTTACACTGTTAAATTACTAAATATTCACCACTTAATTTAATTATAATTTTTTTTATAATTTGGCATAGGATTAAAGTGAATGCCAGATCGGCAGCGGACACCCCGGTGCTCATGTCTGGTCTGGTTAATAATGGCGGCAATCATGTTGGCCACCACGAGGTCACGAGCAGATCTAATGAGAACTTGCTGGAAAGCCTGGAGATATTTTAAACGAGAATGACCATAATTATTGATTATGAATCATAATTTATGATGTATATAAATCATTGAATATTTAAAATGTAATTAATTGTTTGGACCCCTCATAAGTCATTTACTTTATTAATTATATAAATTATCATGGGCGTTTTTTTGTGAATGTTACGTAATAATTTAAATGTACCTGATATATACTCAATATATAATTTGTATGCTATATTTTAGATAATACTTTCACTATATTATAATATTTGTTTTATTGTCATGCAATTTATTAAAGCAAAAAATAAATATATTTTAGCAGTACATAACTTTTATAACTAGGTTAAACTAGGAGAGATAAACAATCAAACATTGTTTAAACAGGTTGATTATACTGTATATCGCACAACTAATGCAACATCAATTTGCTAAACAAAACAACTCGGTGTTTTAAAAATGTAAAACTTTTAACAACAAAATAAATAGCTAATAATTATGACAAATACGGGCCAACAAATGAACAGTATTGTAGTGACGGAACAGCCGGTGGGCGGCAATGCATTCAACGCATACACCTGTGATCTAGACCCGGATGGACAGGGAGGTGAACGCCCACCCGAACCCCAACCACGACAAGAGACGGGTGGATGTTGTTGTGAGATGTGTGACGAGTTTTGGTCCGAAGTATTGGTACACTTGTGTTGTCACTACTGTCCCAAACACTGTTGCGGTGAATGCAAGTGCGATGGCTGTGACGGCTGTGATTGTGGCGATGGCTGCGGCGGTGGCGATGACGGCGATTGTTGTGGCGGTGGTTGTGATGGATGTGATTGCGATTGTAATTGTTGCGATTGAGATAGAAGGGTCATGGTACTTGACTAAGCGCATTTATTCATAATTAATCTAAATATTCTCGTCATAATTAAGTAATTTAACACTGATATGGGTATTATTAATGTTAATTATATTTATCATCTATTTATTGATTAACGTACATTAAAATATATTTTCATTAAGTTAGTTTTTATTAAATAATTGGAATATGAATTGTGTTAACTATTTTTATCTATTTTTTGCAATTATAAATATTTTTAACCACTATTCTGATATGAATATTTAGATTAATTATGAATAAATGCGCTTAGTCAAGTACCATGACCCTTCTATCTCAATCGCAACAATTACAATCGCAATCACATCCATCACAACCACCGCCACAAC